AAGTCGATTTCTAGAGTTTCTCAAATGTTCAGAAATGCTTCTGCATATAAATTAGAAGTCCGAATTATTTGAAAATGACCGGAATTGTAATTTTCAGACTTAAGCACAGGGAGCAATAGAAATCCCAGCTTCACTTTTTTCAATAATAAAGTTGCTTGATTATTTTATTTCGAAGAGATAAAGAATTTTGTAACGTTATCATTGTTAGTATTTTCAGGTCGAGACGACCTTCGAATGTGCGAAATTCCGCTCGATCAGACTGGTTTGACACGAAAGAAAGGCGCCGAGATCTTAGAATCCGAGTTCGAAACCGTATGGTTACATTTGGGCGGCGCTCCGATGCAGAAATGGCGACCGTAGGAGCCGAAGTGACGTCCTACTGTCCTCTCTTAAAAATATTCTTCGCCATTATCAACTGACTCTTCTGCGCTGATAAGGATTTGTTAGTGCATGTATTCGGATGTGTAACATCTTGGAGATATTTTCTTCCACACAACATTCCAATCTCCTCATTAGTCATCTTTTCATGTCTGTGATTGAAATGGGTTGTCGTTGAGTGTAATTTCGTTGGTGCAATCCTCTCTCCATAGATGATGATCACTTTCTTGCGTTCTGGTATTAGCGGTCATTAGAGCTTCGTTCGTTTGTGAATGTTCGCCGTCCAAGTCCTTCAACAGGACGACTGCACAGTTGCGCTAAACGATTTCCACGTCGAATCCTTGTGTATGCATCCGAAATGTATAAACTGATTTTATCGCCCTGTTCTGTACATACATAGAGACGTGAGGGTACACATGTGCAAATGAAAACACATTGCATCCCTTGTTTCTCCTTTGTAAGCCAATCGCGACAGAATAATCACCAAACACGTCCATGACTTCAGCAGAAAAAAAACCATCAATGGTTTGGTGAACTAGTGGAGGCGTTTTGGCTGGTCGAATTGTGATCAACCTGTTCTTTCCAGGCTCTGAAGCAGGCAAAAGCGCCGAAACGTCAGCTTATCGAATACTAGGTTGGAAAAAATGTTTGCATCGTGTGATAAAACATTTAGAATTTATGCATATATTAAGACAACAAATAGCAACAACTATTCTTCAAAATACAGGTCATCATTATCCACTTTTTGCCATGGGTCCTCCAGGTTTCGTTTCGGATCATTTAAACCACTCCTTCGGTTTTGAATCTAAGAACTCTTGACATGCTTCTTCAACTTCATCAGAAGATTCAAATCTCTCGGTCTCGATCTGTCGGTCAACTCTCATTTCCGGCCTTAGACTCACGCAATCGCCTGCGTACTGTTGATTCTCCAATCGTCGGTCGCTCTGATCTTTATTGCTTCGGCGAGCAGCATCAGCAGCATCTGAACCAAATTTGTACTCTTGAAGCATCAACAAACATTTTGTTCCCTGGACAATTCCATTCTGCAGCAGATATAGACAGATTATATATCAATAGATGCGCAAGAAGTAGACCTTTCAAATGATGTGAAAATCACACACGATTCATGCGAAAAACGACATTCCCATCCAAACGACGGGAGTTTTCTTTCCAACCTAATAAATTGTATTGTAGACAACCTCGTCTTTGGCTTACAAAGAAGAAACAAAGAATTTTCGAAGAATGTCTACGTTAATACATAGTCAATCTTAGGAATAAATAACATTTCTTCGTTTCCCAGCGTTGAGATGTCCTTTCTATTGATGCTCTGCAATACAGATGTTATCGTTGATTTGACCGCGCTCAGCGGGCTAATCCAAGTTAGGCCTTAAAGCCCTCCTGGATGGATGATTCACTATCAGATGTTTCTGGAATGAAAAAAGCACCGATTTGATAGATAGGATGTCTATTGCGAGATATTGCATAGACGAAATATGCATTTGTCATTTTTGCAACACTTGAAGAAAACGAATGCATGGCTCATTTATTGCTCAGGGACTATCCAACATTGAGCACTTTTCAGCTCTAAACTCCTGATTATAAGGAGATCGACTAGTGAGTTACTTCCTTCGAGGCTGCTTTACAGAAGAGGATTCGAGTCAAATGACAGCGAAGTCAAAGTCCTGCTATAAGGACTAACCATTGTAGATATAGCGTTCGTTTGCATAGACGAAGGGTTCTGCCTCACTGACGAGAATTTATTTCAAAATATCAGCCAAGAACAATTGACTGTACAACACTGCCGAAGGTGTTTTTCCCTTGACGGCAGTGTAAATCGTTCGTCATCACTTATTCTTAGTGTGGGGAGGGACTAGAACACCCGAGGAAGTTGGCTAAAAGACGAAAGGTTCTGCCAAAGTGACGAGAATATCAAGTTCGAAACACGTGTATCGGGCTGCACAAGATCCAACTAACAGACCACATAACAAGTTGGCTGAAATTAATTATGACAATTGTAAACAGTCGTATCGAATCATTGAAAAAGATGAGGTCAACGAAACGATAGCCGACTAAGTTTCACATATCACACTCGTGATATCAGCTAGAGCCCAAAGAAACCGATATTACTTGGTAGTGCCGAGGTTGAAGGAAAGTCGAGATCACTTTTCGCGTTCGCTTCTCGCTCAAAGTTTTATAATAAAAATAAGCCCAGTTGTAGAAAAAATATTGAGCTTTTCAATTGATTGTCCATGAAAAAATCCAAGTAACGTTATAGAAAAGGAGAAAAATTGATGCGATGCTTCATGGAGGCATATCAATGCAGCTTATATATCCATGAAAGCAGGCTTGTTTGGTTTATGGGCCTCTGCCAAGCATTGCCATCTCCTTGTTGCTAACAAAGTGCAGTGATATAGTACAACTGCAATTCTGTAAACTCTGTTATGACATCTTAATATGGTGAACGAGGTTGTTTGTCTCTGTCTAAAGACGGAAATTCTATTATGGAGGTTTCGAATTATTGAAATTCTAGCCCAGCTTTCGCTGCTTAGTTGTCCAGTAAAAAGGACGAAGTCCTAAGTATATGCGTCACAAAAAAATGGTAATTTGTAATCAAATTCGATTCACTGTGTCGTTGTCGTTCTCATTTTGTCTTATTTCTTAGAACTCTCAGAAATATTTTGTACTGCAGATTTTACTGCATTTTACTCTTACTGCAGATTTTTTTACTGTAGTGCACTTTGTCGAATTCGTCATTTTGAAGCGATTACGGTCGAGTTGAGAATTTTGCGAATTACCTGAAGAAACGACTAACAAGTTTGAGAGATTGTAGTTATTTTTCCTGATTATAAAGAGGCATTTCGCGTGAATTCTTTCGCTAGAGTATTGTGGTGGATTTTCATGTAACGGCATTACCATCCACTTCAATGAAAATAATATCGCGTGCATCCGACTAGTTGCAAAAATGAGAAATTAACGCATTGACGACGAAGCTTCGTCCGAAAAACCACACATTTTCCGATCGTTAATTCTGGTATATCCAGGGTCTTCTCCAGAAGGGCTTATAATTAATCGTTAGTTTGACTTATGCTAATTCTTCCGCTGAGCTTATTTTTTATCTTTTGTTGAAGAGGCTTATAATACATAATTGCCATTCAAACGACAAATCATTAAGAGGACCGCTGATTTTGACCCAATTGGGTTTTATATCTACATTGCATAGGCTATCGAGTGTTCATAGAAAGTTCAGAGAAGTGCTTGCCCGACCAAAATCAAAGCAATTGGGATACGCATGAAATCTATAGTTATTACACCAATCTCTACATATTATAAAGTCTGTACACAAGTTGTCTTGTTAATTAATAGGCAGAAGAATGAGCCATACCTTCTCATTCGACTGCTTTTTTACATACCCCGCTCAAAACTATAATACTCTGATAATGCTATATTTTGAGCTTTTGAGGTCTAAGTGCGAGATAGATGTGTGTTTCGTCCCACCTTGACTCCTCAGTAACACAGTCCCTCGGTTCAGCCGATCACTTGAGGCTATACTCCTCTATGAAGAAATCAACGCGGGTAATATACCACCTCAAATTAGGTGATAGAACTCAGCGAATGGTGCAACTGAGTCCAGGTAAGGCGGAACGGACGCCTGTCTAGCACTTAGATCTTAACGGCTCAAAACATGTTATATCATTTTCAGAATAGGCAGAAGATCACGCATAATTCGGTAACGAATTTCCTAGAGCCTAGGAAATATTGCCACATCTGGTAGATGCCAGATTGGCTTTATTTTAAGCACAGATCTTTTTTTCGAACATTTTTGAACAGCTCATAGCTTATGAAATGTATAAGTAAAACCTAACTCAGTATAACCAGGATCTAGCTCAGGATAAACTGCCCTATCAATAGTTTGTCACATGATTTTTTTGCAACATAATTCGTCATCAAAAAGCAAAATATTTCTGTGGAACCATTTGCATAAGTTAAACTATCAATTAATTACTATAAACACTCCAAGAGGAGACCATATGCACAAAATTTGACCATCGAAAAATGTAAGGCTATTCTAGACGAGACTTCCTTTGAGAGTGTTAGTTCACTAACGACGAAATGAACCATATATGGCTCACACATGTTTTTTTTCGTTATATTCACTTCTTGTCTAATGGGACTAGAATGCAAACGTTTGTGGACTTGCTTTTCTTTATATCTTCAAAATTAATTGGCAGACGTGGCTTAGTGGCTTAAGGAGCACTGCAGCGGAGATTTCGTCTTTGGTTTGAACCTGCACCCATCCAACTAAGCCACTTCATTATTATTTTGGTGGTAGAGTTATCCTTAAAGCGAGCGACACTTAAATGATATACCGTTAGATATTGGAACCTATTGTATATTGAAAATATTAATTCAATAATCTTTGGAATTGTTTTTATATAACCTCTTAAGCGGTGGTAAAATTTCATCATATTTATACATATATATCCAGCAGTGCAGAGTGATGTGCAAAACCTTCGCGTTAGCCGGGACTAGAACCCGCACCTTACTCACGGGTGTGCGTGCTCTATCTGTTACACTATTGACGCCCATTTTGCACACCACTCTTTCTACGCTTCTGCAAAATGGGCGTCATTATGTAATGGATCGGGCACGCGCTTCTGGAAAGAGTGAGGCGCGGGTTCTAGTCCCGCCTGACGCCAAAGTTTCGCACATCACTCTACATTACTGAGTCAATAATCTTCATTGCAGAGTGAATGGAGTCGAATGTATGACAGAGCCTTATATATAAGTCTAGCTAATGCGAAGCGCCGGAACTAGAAGAAAAAATCACCTTGCTTTTCCCCATGCTTATTTGAGGTCTCTAATTGGAAATCCTGCTAACGTCAAGTTGTGCTGGGCACGACGACTTATTACTGGCTGCCTTTCGCTTCGGAAACAGGAAATGGTAGGCCTTGGAGGAAAAATGATATACGTAGAATGTTGTGCTTGGTGGGAAATAGAAAGCAAATTAATTTTTTCCACAAATGACTTGACTGGGGAGTCGCGATAAATACTTTTGTTGTCTTTGTTCTGACGAAATGACATAGCCTCAACCTTTATCATCCTTGCCTTGGGCTACTGCTCTTTAGTCTGTCGTGCAGTGGATAGAGAGCACTACAAGACATGCGTAGTTCTTGGTTCGAATCTGCAACCTTTCTAACTTAGGCGTTCATCACTTCGGAAACTCAAGATCGATCTAGGCTCTCTCTGTGGAATGAAATATATGTCAAAAATACAACCACATTTTGAGATATCCTTTTTAATCCTACATATGTATATGATTTCTCTAGCCTCATTTGCTAGATTTGAATCAGTTTGTTACGCTACCCTAAAGCAGTTGCTCATCTGATCGCACTACTCGTTGTCACCACGGAAACAGTTATTGCCGTGGAAGTGTCAGAGATGCACCAACAAACTTTGTAAGAGCTTCTAACTGCCTGCAGGATAACCTCAGAACGTGCCTCCATAGCTAGCCTGTTTATCACGACCTATTACGCTCGATAATCATGCATCATATCAGTGAGGGTCACCTTGGATTGAAAGTATTGCATATCACTCAAAGTTCCAAATATCTAGTTAGAAATAACAGTAATGAGAGGAGTAAGCAAAAGTTCAACCTCAGACAAGAGTTGAACCCGCGTTTCACCCTTACCGGGGACTACCGTGTACAGTGGCCGTTGGCATAATTGGGTTTATAAAGCGATATTGCTTACCTGACTCCCTGAAAGAGGCTGGTGGCTGATAGTTATGATAGGGATATCTTGAAGAACGAGTGTTGGGTAAGCGGTGTCCTTGATGGTGTAGTGGTAGCACACGCCTCAGGCATAGGTGAAACACAGGTTCAACTCCCGTGTGAGGTCAAGTTTTTGTCAGCCATTCGATCTATTAAACATCATAACACTGTGAAAAAGCAGTAGGAACAAGAATCCTCAAATTATAATTAGAATATTGTAACACTGCCAAAAATAATAGGACAACGAATCCGTATAAAATCAATTTTCAACATTAAGGGCTGATTGGGAGCGCAGGTAAAGACTGTAACCCGTAAAGATGATGTTTTCCATATGCACGGTCAAGGCTCGACCGCGAACTGAGATATCTAGGATTCTTATTTTTACAAAGTCGGGAAATCATTAGCAACTCGATTGCAAGTTTGTGATCCTCAAAGAATAACGACTGTTTGTGGTGAAAGCCTGATTACCCCCTCTCAAATCCATCCTGAAACTTTATTGGGATTCGATCTGTAGACGTTCATAAGTATAGGATGAGAAAAACCTATTAAATTTTAAAAAGTTTTGGAAATGCACATTATCATCGAGTGAAAATTTTTTAGGTCGCCTATTGTAGCACTTTTGCTGAGTGGGAAAAGGGTAATAAACACGTACCAGAGGCGTCGCCGCATCAACAATCGACGGCAGCTATGCAACAAATAATGATGAATTGTTTCCTTACAGAGCGTAGTTTCCTTGAAACTTCTGAGCGTATAAATTGTTGATGGAGAAGAAAGACGTCGGAAAACAACCGAGCTCCAATTTCCTAAGTTTGTCTCTGTAGAACTGAAATCTCAGTATTATTCCTGTAGCATGAGAACGTCACGCTGCATTTTCACTTCTTCATACCATCAACCTATCTCAGCTTCCATTTTTGTGTTTTCCAATGCTTATTACAATTAGTGGACGTGCATGGCGCAGTGGTTAGAGGTGTTCTGCGGCACACATGATTGATCATGGGCGGTCAATGGATCACTGCCACGCTCAAGACTCACCAAGCCTTCCATCCCTCCATGATCGGTGGATCTGTACCAGGCTTGTTCGGGAAGACAGCAGCATTGACTTGATACATCGGTTAGCCACTGCGAGTCATTGTAAGGCCAAACATACATTCAATCTCCTCAAATAATGCCAAAATTGGATATGAATGCATGACTCATTCCTCATTGATCAACATCGATTTATCTTTTATTGCTTGCTACAATGAATAAAAATGCCCAGTCATTTCTACATGCCTGTGAGCTCCTGAACGTACAAGATATATGAGTCGTTGAACAACTAAAAGTGCATTGGAACAAGAGTTGTATTGCTTTACTAATGCAAGAAAAAGTGGGTAAATCAAAGTGAAAGATCCCAAGACCGACTATCTATAAACCTCGGCATAGTTTAAATAAATAAATAGTTTCTTCTGTTTAGCCGTTTCGAGGTGTTATCGATATTATTTATTGAATACTAGCGAAGCATACAACAATACAGTTAGTAATGCAGCTTGAATGCACAATATTCGAGGTGGCTGACGTTTCGGCGGGTCGCCTTCGTCAGAGCCTGAAAAGATCACATTGATCCACAATCCACTAAGCCAAAATCTCCATAACCCTAGCAGAAAACGTTAGATTTGAGTTTTGGATCACATAGTAAAAGCTTCATTTCAAAACACTCACCATTTTGATGTTTGGGTCTATCAATTATTAATTGAAGACCAGCCGCTTAAGGCCAGTGCATCAGTGGGCTGCGCCTAACTCGAGCCGGAAAAATCTGCCTGAGGTATGGTTCGAGGTCACGAGGTCACGCGTGATTACGAGGCACTCCTCTTTTCGGTTCAGTTTCGGAGCTTTAGTATGTATTTAAAAGGCTTCTAATGTTTTACGAGCAGATATTCTTGATTCCTGTGCGAGGATCGTGAATTTGACGCCGAACATTACTCCTGCATGTCTTTAGTCCATATGCGTGCCTAGTGGAGTTTTTGAATCACAGTTGCGTAACCCAGCTAGGCGCTCTTTTACACGGAAACATAGTGGTCTACCCTTCTCGCCAATATACTCATCGCCGCATGCCTCGCAAGAGATTAGGTAAATTATACCCGATCTCGTACAGTCGCCGTCTCTGCTGTTCGGACAAACTTTGCAGTCATTGGTTTCGCAGAGGCGGTCATCAGTTAGTTGGGGACTAATTGACGCTTTAGTGTTTTGAGGGTATTTCAACTATTGTTACTGAATCATCCAAACCTGCTCTTTTTAGGCAGCGTTCAATAGCTGCACTTATTTCGTTATAAATAGAAGGCAAGAGGAAAAGAACCTTAATTTGGCCAGACTTTTCCTTTGGGAGCATAGAATTTCCCCTAATCTAACCTGAGAAGCTCCTACCGTATCGTAGCCATTAGAGATGGCTATTTTTCGCGCCAAGCTTGAGGATCCTACCTCGTGTTCTTTCCCTGTGCACACATTTGACGCTGTTCGGAACATATTCTCAAGAAGTGCGCGTTTTATGTGTAAAGGATGGGCTGATAGGTAATGAAAAGATACTTTTGTTGTTTGGTTTACGGCACCATTTCGTATTGTAGGAATTTTTGGACAGGTTGACCTGAACGTTCAAAAAAGGAGGCCAATTTGCTTTCGGTTTCTCACGGGTGAATCTTATGTACTTTGACTGACTGTTCAGCAACTCAAAGCATTTGTCCATCTCCTCTTGGGTTGAGCAGACGACAAAGCAGCCATCCATGTATCTACAGTAGGGTAACGGTCGGAGATCGATTATTGGGCTCTACACTTTAGACATAAAGGCTATAGCAAGTATTGGCGCTAGTCGTTGTCCCATTGCCAGCCCTCTGATTTGAGCAAAATAGTTCCCGGACCATCTTAAGATTGAACAGTTTAGGCACTCTTTTAAGAGAGCCATAAACTGCTCAACGGAGAAGCCACACATGTTTCTAGTCCTTTCGTGCTCTGTTGAAAGCTCGTATATGGCTTGCATTGCGGATTCATCCGAAACCTTTGTATAAAGGGCGGTTACGTCGAAAGATTCCATCACGTACGCGTTGTTGGGGACGCGTTACGTAAATGGTCTAGCAACATTTGGGTGTTCGTGAGATGGGCTGGAATGTGCTTTAGTAATTGGACTAGTATTAGGTTTAAAAACCACGTTATCCTGTCCGTTGGTCCGCCTACGCAGCTGATGATGAGTATAACTTTGAAATTTGATGGATTAGTAGACAAAAGATTACCAGTGCATACCAACTTATAAGTTTTTATAATAAGTATAAGACGGGACATGATGGTGGACTAAGTTTTAGTTGAGAGATAACGGAAGACTTTAAACCAGCCGAGCTCGCTATTTCTACCCATTGTTGGTTCAGTTTTCGATACTGTTTTTAGAATTCCTTACCAGACGATAGGCGATAAAGTGTGGTATCTTCAAGGTGGTTTTTCGTTTTCGCAAAATCTAACTGATTGGGAATTACTACAAACTCTCCTCCTTTGTCACTAACTGATAGTCTGATTGCTTTGGAGTTGATTAGTTCCCGTATCTGTCGCATGCGGTTTTTCTGCGCTGATGTTAGGTTGGAACCAAACCTTTTTCCGCGATAGTGGTTAAGGATTCTGAGATTTTCGTTTGAAAATATGCGAAAATTCTTATCCTTGTTATTGGGTCTTGCTGTCTGAAGAACGCTCGAGGAAAAGGTGGTGTTGGTATTGCCTATGCTAAGCACAGCTATTAAACGCTGCCTAAAAAGAACAGGTTTGGATAATTCGGTAGCAATAGTTGAAATACCCCAGAAACACTAAAGCGTCAATTAGTCCGCAACCTACTGTATGACCGCCTCTGCGAAACCAAGGACTGCAAAGTTTGTCCGAACGGCAGAGACGGCGACTGTATGAGATCGGGTATAATTTACCTAATCTCTTGCGAGGCATGCGGCGATGAGTATATTGGCGAGAAGGGTAGACCACTATGTTTCCGTGTAAAAGAGCGCCTAGCTGGGTTACGCAACTGTGATCCAAAAACTCCACTAGGCAATGTTCGGCGTCAAATTCACGATCCTCGCCCAGGAATCAAGAACATCTGCGTGTAAATCATTAAAAGCCTTTTGGATACATAACAAAGGCCCGAAAATGAACCGAAAAGAGGAGTGCCTCGTAATCACGCTTGACCTCGAACCATACCTCAGGCTGATTTTTCCGGCCCGAGTTAGGCACAGCCCACTGATGCACTGAACTTATGCGGCTGGTCTTCAATTAATAATTGATAGACCCAAACATCAAAACGGTGATTGTCCTGGAATGAAGCTTTTACTATGCGATCCAAAACACATTTCTAACGTTTTCTGCTAGGGTTATGGAGGTTTTTGGCTTAGTGGATTGTGGATCAATTTGATCTTTCCAGGTTCTGACGAAGGCGACCCGCCGAAACGTTCGGCACCTGGGATATTGTATATTCAAGCTGCATTACTGACTGTACTGTTGTATGCTTCGCTAATATTCGATAAATAATATCAATAACACCACAGAACTGCTAAACAGAAGAAATTAATCATTTGAAGTGAAAGATGTCTGTTCAAGAGAAGTGATCAATCGGGAAAAAAAGAATGCGTGTTGCGGGCTGTGAAGTCCCCGATGAGAAATGAAATTTTTAGACGTTTCAGCCTCATTGTGTCTTCTAGATACTATTTCATTTCTCACTGATAAATTTTAGAGCGTGTATGAATTTCGCTGAGGAGAGGATTTTTTAGAGGATGAAGTTTTTCCAAAAGCCATAAGAGCAGGCTCACAACGTTTTGTGACCTTATAAAGATAACATCAAAGATCCCTGTGTGATTTATCATGCTTTATTCGGCTATAAATGTGCTGGAATTGGTAACTTTAACTCTCCGGGTCAACTATATCTCCCTTCAGTATAATGGTATATTGGCACCAAATTTGTCTACAAAGAGCTTTCCTAAGGTCATCGTGGACGATCAATGCGAAGAAACGATTTGAATGATAAGATTTCCGGGAACCTCGCAATATGTGATGTTGCCTGAATAATGAATATCTGGTTTTTGGACCGACTAGGAGTAAAACCACAGTCCCTCGCACCAAGATTGCATTGAAACATT